TTATGAGGTATGCTTTTAATTATTCTTTTCACATATGAGAACTGGAGAAGATCATGAATATGTATAATTTATTTATATTCATATTGATATTCATACTCTTGTGTATATACTCAGAAGGGTAGATGTGGCTTCTTTGAATGGCATGATGAGCCATTAACGGATAGAGCAAGGCATGTTATCAATGAGCTCAAACGGGAGAATAGGAGACTGCAATCTACAATGTTTGAACTGGAATGTGATAGTGTTGCTCAAAAGTTGGAGAGTGAAGTTGAAGAAGTCAATAGTAGGAATGATGCAGCTCATCTGGAATTGGAAAGCAAAACTAAAATGAAGAAGAATTATGTTATTGTAGTGTTGTTATGTGTCCTTATTGTAGTATTATGTGTGTTTGTATGTTAGTTTCAGTTTCTTGTAAAATGGTTTGGTTATGACCTTGTAAACAGTTTGAATTTGAATACATGTTGCTGTTAGAATTTGAACTACTGAATTTGAATTGTTGTTAAGACTTTGGTTTGGTTGTTAATATGAAAATACATGTTGCTGTTAGAATTTTTTAATAAGTTGGTCTGGTTGTATTACTATGTTTGAGAGCATTGTACTGATAACACCACAAATGAAGTAGTGTACTAATAACACCAGTTTGAGAGTAGTTTGAAATCAGAGCCAAACTGAAATATCAACACGAGATTGGCTAATATCATAACCACAATACAATCTATAGAAAAAAGCCCTCATGTCAACATTGGTGCATTTATTACAGAGTAATACATGAATAAACAACATATATGAACACACATGAACTTATTAACAACATAAACATACATGAAGAAACAATACAATGCCATTTATACATGAATCGAATACATTAATATACCATACAATAGATGCAATTTATAAACAAAACAGATTAATCTTGCTAACATATAAGAACTTATATCATAACTTCACATCATTAGGGATCATAATACTGATTGTTAATGAGGTTACAAATACAAAAAAAGCATTATAAGCCCTAATTTAGCACCCCAAAATTGCAATCAGATCCTTATAGTTCCAGAAGTAGTAAAAGCTACTTGCAAAAAAGCTACTTGCCAGAAGTAGTAAAAGCTTCCAGTGAATCTTCATATGACTACATTGCAAAAAAGCTAATAAGCTAATACATACAAATTGCCCAAAAGTGTTCTAATGAAACATATGAGTCTTCATTCATCCAGATTTGTAGTCTTGCTTCAATATGTTCACTTTGGAATGGAACCCGGCCTCCTGATCTGCATCTTCTGTAACAACTGCTTAGAGTTGATTGCTGCATTCCCATTCCATTGCAAACCAGATGGTTGAAAAGGTAGGTTTGCTTGATTATGCACCTCTGTACCATCACCCTTGAAAGGTATTGTTCTATATGTTGGCACATCCAACTTCTTCTCAGCCCGGGCAGCCCCTCTGATATCTTTTTCATTTGGGGTTGCAAATCTGACTGTAACATCAGGGTCATGTGGCATTTGAGGCTGGAAATCTGAAACTATTTCCTCACTGCTCATCCCAGGCTACAAGCATAAACAAGTACATGAAGGTAAAATTATAAATAAGAAAACTTATTTCAATACATCAACAAACTAAACCACTTACATAACACTGGAAACCTGTTGATACTCACATTTAAAGTCTTCTCACCAGTGTTCACATTCACATAGCATACAAAACCTGTTACAGATTGTTTACTTATATTCCTTGCTATTCTTCTACATGTCACTTTAGACTTACGAATACTCCTTTTAGCATTAGTGGGTGGATTTGTTGGTGGATCTGATTCTGTAGTGGTAGGAATTGATGAAAAAGCAACACTAGAAGGTCTCTTCACAGGTATAGGTGCAGTCCCTTCTGCTCCTTCAACACTTGCCTAAGAAAAAGATTAAAAACTCATGAAAACACAATAAATCAATATTGCAGTTTACATCTTCAAAGTCATGTACTACTTACATCTTTATTAGGACATATAGCTCTCTTATGGCTCTCCTTATGGCATATCCCACAAGTTTGTAGTCTCCCTTTTCTTGATGATGTTTGAGGTGTAGCACTCGTAGATGTAGAAGCACTTCCAGATCCTTTGACCTCAGTAGATGATCTAATCATGTTCTTCTTTGGTCTGCCAGGTAGGTTTGGCACTGGGGGAGGTAAAATGGGTTCATAATGATCAACCTTCATGAAATCTTTTCCAGGTACCAGTTGCAAAGCGTTTTCATATGCTACCATATAAGTCTCCTTATGATACCATCTTGAAATGTAGGTGATAAGATCTACCTTCCTATAATAGAAAGCACATATGGCATGTAAGCATGGTATTGCAGTCAGTTCCCATGCTCTATAAGTGCAGACCATCTTATCCAACGCAACTGTGTGCTTATATGTCCCCTCTCCAATCTCAAACCCCACATCCCCATTAAATATAACATTGCAGCCACTAGCAGCCTTCTTATTGTCTTGATAGTACTCCATGCATATGGGAGATCAATCGTTTATCCACTTATCATGATTTGTCTTAAACTCTGAAATTCTTTTCATTGCCTTCAATCGTATATCCTCCAGCATGGTTACAATAGGTTTTGACCTAGCTTCCCGGATCCATGAATTGAAGGAATTTATGGCGTTATTATCAACCATCCAACATGAACTTCTATTACTAAAGTATGCTTTACACCAATTTTGAACTAGATGCTTCAAAAGGTCAGAAGTAGCTTCAGTGCTCAATTTTCCAAGCTTTTTAAGATTCAGTTGCAGCTCTTCTTCATATGTGAGGAACATATCCAAAACTTTTCAAAACTCATTGCCTCTCCACTTTTTTGACCAATTATATGTATCTGGTATGACCTCTTGAGCAGCACTAATCAGCCCCTTTTGCATATCAGAAATAAGTGTTAACTCACCACCAGTATTCAGGTCTAGCTCCTAAACAAGCCAACTCAAAAACCACCTCCAATTAGACTTATTTTGTTTATCAATGACAGCCCATGCTATAGGGACCATCTGCCCATTTCCATCCAACCCCATTGCACCCTTTAGAAAGCAACCATCCACACCTATGATTCTTCTAAAGCCACCCAGCCAGTTCTGCCTCAAAGCAGCAAAGCATACAAACATTCTCTCGAATACTCTCCTCCCTTCTTTCAATGCTTCACAGCAGAGTTCAATTTCAGCTTTTGAACCTGGATTACTCCTCTTTAATGTGGCAGCATATGCTTCTAGGTACCCAAACTCAGCCTTGTAACTACCATCCATTTCTTGAGTAATCAACCTTTTAGCATTTTTACATTTATACAAGCTAACATTTATCTTCAACTTCTTATTAGCCTCCTCTTTCATGTCAGCAACTCGAAAGCTAGGATTTCTTTGCAGGTTCCCTTTAAAGTAATTTGCAAGCCACTTTTGAGTAGCACTAGGAATAGAATAGTGTCTGAAACACTTGTGCTCAGTGTTACAATTCTTCACTCCCAACCCACAGTTCTTCCCATTTGAGAAATCCGTAATCTATATGGGCAGCCTTCCTCATTCAAACATTTAACGGGCAGTCTATTCTTCTCATTTGGTTTGATTTTCAGCTTGTAACCATATTTAACCCCATAATTAGCAATTGCAGTCCTAGCCTCTTCAACATATGAAAAGGTCATTCCATTCATAAAACAATCTGACCCATCTATTGCATTGTAATTGATTGTACTATCATTGTCAAAGGATGGATCAGAATTGTTGCTCTCTTCATCTTCTGAGCCTCTATTTGATTCTTCATTTGTAACATACCCATTTAGGACACCACTTGTATTCACTTCATCACTTTGGTCTCTCCAATCTGTATTGGCAGACTCATCACCCACCCCACCATCATTCTCATCACCAATCTCATGGTTATCAATTTCAGAAAATGAACCTTCTATAAGGGGAATCAAAATGGGTTCGTCCAGTTGATGGTTAGCATATAGTTCTATAGTATCAATCCAAGAAAATCTCCTTATAAGATTTAACACTTTCCTTATAGTGTCATCATCCTGAACTAAGAAAAGTCCATTGTCCAAATCCTTTCCAGGTTCTAAAACATATATATTTTTCAGTGTTTTAAAACCCCAAGTCATCCTTGTATTTTCTTGAAATGTCATGATAACACATAAAATCAGGGTCAAACCCATAAACTATATCAGTGTTCCCATTCACATACTGTAACTTTGGTTTCATAACCCACCTTCCGCTATGGTTAAAACTGAGATTAACCAACTCATTCATTGTAACGAAAAAAACAACACTGAAAGATTACCTCAGATTAGTCGTACGTCTTGCAACCTTGGTAGTGCAGTTGAACACCTTCTAATCTTTTGAACTCACTCGCAAAATCTCACACTTATTAGCATGGAAGTGAGTTAGGGTTAGAAATTTCAATTTGGGAGTTTCTAATCGCAGGACTTGGGTGATAACGGGGAAGAGAAGCCGTTTAACAAGAAATGTTAAGGAGTGGGCGATGAGGTCTGAAAAGTCTAATTTGGTGTTTATTTGATCTCAAAAAAACCTTAATGTCCAATACGCACTTCATTAAAAACCTCAATGTCCATTTTGGCCTTTTTCCCATTAAACTACAGTAATACAAATTTAAATAATTAAATTATGCTTCGGTCTGGTTACAAGCTTCCAATGAACTAGCAAAGACTATGAGTCGTTGGGGGAGGCTCTCCTAGTCTCCAACAGATTGTCGGACCAAGAGAAAACGAAAAAAGAAAAAGATAAACTAGGCGTTGGGGCGGCAGGTCCCAGTTCCCATTTTCACATACCGAGACCGGGTAATCCGAATCGTCGCGTAGATTAAAGTTCCAACCGGAAAATGGTCAACTGGTCCTGCACCCAGTTAAAAAAACCAGGCATTTCCAAGCAGTTCCGAACCGGTCAATCTTGGGACATGAACCGTAACCATCCCTCGTCTTTATTATGGCTGAGTTCTAAGCGAGTTTGGCACAACTGGATATTTAGAGTTCAATGAGGGTGGTGAAAATGAACATTGCGCTTGTATAAGTAGAAACTATATACGTACATATTGAGAGTTAATTGTCCATAAGCATTCATGTTTTAAGTTGGCTTATACATAAATATTCAATGTATAAGCAATAATGCAGTTGGAATTCACTGCCAACTGAAACAATAAGTATATCATCCCATGGCTCAATTTGTTCTTCTTGTTCTGTTTAGGGTGTCAGCCCGAACCCGAAAGGAAACAGCGGATCAACAGAATTCTCTTGAGCATGGACAGGTAGTTGATCAACACTTCTAAACCATGTCATGGGAAGTTTACCCTGGAAAGGATAGTCCCCAAATAGAACGTCTGTGATTCCCCTTCCTTCACTTCCAGGCAACCAAGCAGCAACTAGGGACTCTACCTTATCCAGGATGCTTGGTTCTATAACCATTGGCCTCCCGGAGATCAGAATCATCAGAGTGGGGACCTTGTCAGCGACATAGCTCACAATCTCAGAACCGTTCAATGGAATTTTGAGGTGCGGATCATCTCCACCGGTTTCAACGTATGGCGTCTCTCCCACAGCCACAATGGCATAAGAGAAATCTTGACCATTAAATGTTTCTGTTGAAGGGTTTGGCTCAAATACTAGTTCTGTCTCATCACCCACAACCCCTTTTATGGCATCCAAAATGGTTGTACCTGTTAAGAGCGTTCCCACATAAAGGTATTAAAAACAAGTTTTTAACTTTATAAGTGATTGGGACTCATCTCAAGTACATCCAGGTTAAGTGACTTTAGCCAATTATTAATTTTATATTAGTACATAGGGAGAAGATGATACTACTCAAGTCCCTAATTTATCTCCTGGTTTGCTGTTGCACAGTTTTAATAAAAGTGTGTGATTCAAGTTTATTTAGTGTGACGAGAAACAATATCAACCAAGAAATCAATCTTTAATATAAAAAAGAGATAAATTTAGGGATGGATAAAAAAGGAAAGAACAAAGATCAACAAAGGTGGGAGGAACTAGGGAGTAATGTTTACTTCAAGCTATATATTGAAATGATTTACTCCCTCCGTCCCGTAAAGAAGTTCCTAGTTTGACCTACACATATTAATGTAAGTAAAGTTTTGTTTTGACTTTCCAAGTATACCCTTACTTTATGACAAATCAAATAAAAAGTGGGTAAAAAGTAAGGGTAGTTGTGACTTTTTGGTTAAAAGTGGTTTTCTTTTATAGAAATGAGAACTTCTTTTTGGGACATCCATAAAAGGAAAGTGGGAACTTCTTTACGGGACGGAGGTAGTAAATGGGAACCCCACCGATTGTGACTTTGCCACTGGATCCAGTCCAGGAAGAAGTCCAGCCTCCACATTGGTAACCGAGGTCATCAGCATGTGTTCCTGCAATAAGGATCCTTTTGGCATTCTTGTCTAAGGGAAGAAATGGTTTATCGTCATTCTTCCCATTCTTCAGTAGAACCAAGGACTTGCGGACAGCTTCGCGTGCTACTTCTCGATGTTCCTGAGACGATTTTACTTGAAATCCTTAGTACTTTATAATCAGACATATAATTGTTGAAAACACAGTTGACACTAACTCAGCCCGGAAGGCAAAAGACTGTCCAACACTTATTAAGAGGTTTATTCCTTTACGTTTAGCAGGCATGTGTTATGACTGAGGTTTTATCAAGAAATGTTATTCTGATAAGAGAAGTAACTTAATGTCTTATACTACCAAAGTTTCTTTGTTATTTTGCATTTAATTCATGTGAGATATCCTCTTCAACAATGGGGACACTCTACAACAATAACCTTTAATTTTTTTATGTTAAAGAATTAAAGGGTAACAATTATGATGTTTGAACCATATAGATGCTAATATATCAGACTGAAAGTAGTAGGATGGGAATACCTTACAGCCAACCAAATCCAATAAAGATCTATCTGCATAAGGATGCTCAAATATGCCTGAGACAAATTTGACCCTCAGGATTCTTTCAACAGCATCGTCAATCCTGGACATTGGTATCTCCCCTGATTCTACTAAAGACAACAGTTCATCCAGAAATAACTGAAACCTAAAAGGCACCATCACCTGCAAAAAATGCAAACCATTAGGTTAAGAGACACCTTACTTAACTCGGCTGTAATGATAAATGATCAATCCTTAATCTCAACCATATCTATTCCGGCATTGATTGAGGACAAGATGCTTTCACGGTACTTTGAGCCTGGAGGGTCAGTAAGCCTATCGAGCGCTTCCCAATCTGATATCACAAAACCCTATATGACATTGAATGTGTTAGAGTCTCACAAATCACATCTAACCAGTAAATAGAAAATAAAATATTAGTGACCTTTGGTTGGACAAGTTAATATCCGGGATTCAATCGTTAATGTGATTCGACCCAAGTGTCTTATGGACACTTGAGCAACCCAACCCAATTATAAAATCTACCAGAGAATGAGAGAATATACATAAAAGTATAAGTTTAACTAGGCAATTGGTCAGATTCCAACATATTTCAACCTGGTTTACCTTAAATCCCAGTTTTTCCTTCAGAATCTCAGTAAGAAGATGATAGTCAGAGTGCATTTTGCGTCCATTCCAGCTTGAGTATGATGCCATAACAGTGCAAACTCCTTGAGACAAGCAGTCCAGATAGGGAGCCAAATGATCATTGATCAATTCATCGTATGATGTTAGTGTATTTCCTTCATTTGTTCCTTTATCGGTCCCCCCATCACCAACGTAATGCTTTGCACACGCAACGACCTTAGTTCTGGACAGTGCAATTATCAGATGAATAAGACTATTATAAGCCAACACCCTGTAATATTTAATAAAAGAACCGATCCGTTTCTAGACCTTCCATCAACATAAGGGTAGCCCTTCACATGTCCTTGGGGAACCTGTCCTTGCAAGCCTGTAACAAGTGAGCTCAATTTGCTTACAACTTCAGTGCTTTCACCATAGCTCTCATAGCATCTTCCCCATCTAGGATCTCTACTAACCTGTCATCACTCAAATACCGTGGAATTAATTTTGAACTTCTGTTACAAAAAAAAAAAAACTAAGGTATTTTGATTCAACAAAATGCTAGGGAAAGAGAAAAAACAAAAAAAAAACTGAGGAAAGTTAATTTATTGTGTTTGGGGTTATCTCTGATAAATAAAATGATAATAAAATGTAATTAATTTTTTTACATATGTTTAGATTTCTCAGTCTTTGTAAAGTACTAGGTAAAAATCATCATTAACCTAGTGCCGCAAAGGCTCCCACCTACGGTGGGGTAGGGGGACGTCGGATGTACGCAGTCTTACCCCTATACTAAAGCATAGAGGCCGTTTCCGGATGACACATCGTGAAAATCAACTTGAAAATTGCATAGACTAACTGTTGATTCACAACAAAAAAACACAGACAGTTTAAGACCCAATTTAAGCAAATATCAACAGGGGACTGAAAACCAAATCAAGATATATGAATCTTTAAATCATATAAATAAATAAAACTTTAATAATTCAGACTAAAACTGATGTTTCAAATCGTAGGTAAGATTCAGATTTGTGGAACATGAAAGACTGCCAAGAAACACGAAACAAACCATTTTTTGCTACTTACAGCTACGCAAGGAGCAAAAGCATACTGAGATCCACTTGCCCTCACTTCCAGAGCCGTTACTTCCCCTATCCTCCTCACTAAATCCTCATCCCTGCAGATCACATTTCATAATTCTATCATAACTTTTTTATCACTAAATTTTCTCTCAGCGTTTTAATTGCGCAAATAAATCTAGTACTAAACGATTCAACTTACCTTGTAGCTCCGAGCCCAATATTGTGGGGGAAAATGGTGGCGCCATAAACGTTATTGTTCCCGTGTACGGCGTCGATCCCGTAGAGAATAGGAATGCTTAAGCGGGTCTCCAGCGCCGCCTTCTGGAATCCATCGATCATGTCGGCCCATTCCGCCGACGCCGCATTCTCCGACGGCTTGCTTCCACCTCCGCTCAGCAAACTCCCTACAAACTCGATCAGTTTAATTGACTCAATTAGCTCTCTGGAAGCTAAGATGGGACAAGGGGGAACTGTTGTAGGAGAAGAAAAGGGGGGTTTAAATGGAACCTATGAAACGGTTAGTGATGGCGGAGGGAGTGGCAACGGCGCGTTCAATCTGAGTCATTTGTCCGATTTTCTCCTCAAGAGTCATCCTGGAAAGAAGGTCTTTGACCCTCTGCTCGATAGGGGCACTTTGGTCCTTGTAAACGAAACTGGTCGTCATTCTTCTTCCCTTTGCTCCGATCTTTATCGCCTGTGTTACAGAATAGCTTCTGTAACTTCTGAGGAGAGGAGCTCCGGTTAGATGCATAAAGACGACGACTGAGCTGATCTGGCAGTTTTATAGGTGCATTGTGCGGGACCCTCTGGATTCCGTGTTGATGTCAACGAATCATTAATTGACACGTGTAAACATAAAAAGCGGGATTTCAATGGAACAACAATAATAAAAAATAAAACAATAATGAACAATATAATGTTGTCTAATTAATGGGCACCATAACCAAATACTCCCTCCCCCCATAAACAAATGTTCCCCTTTTTTTCCCAATGTAACAATAATAAATCATTTTTTATCCGTCCCTAAAAAGGTTCCGTTTTTTATTCCTTAAAGAAACAATACTTCTATAAAACAACGTTAAACATTTTCTTAAATTATACTTGCTCCATTCTTAAATAAGTGCAACAGTCAACATTTCACACTTGTCGAGACAAAACTTTGACCATTAATATATATAATTCTCCATTAGTAAAAAAAATTTAAAAATAGTTTTTGAAAATTTACAATGAGACAAATTTAATAATATATTTTTCAAAAAAATATATTAATATATTAATAAATAAAATGTAGTCAAAGTAGAACATGTGAACAGTGTAAAATTTCACATGTTGCACTTATTTAAGAACGGAGGTAGTATGTTATTCGACTTTTAAATAGGAATTATTAATTCATCTAAAATCGCAGCCTCCACCATAATATTGTTTTTTCTTTCTATATATGCATACCAATTATTAGCAAGGATATAGGGAAGGTATTCTTGGTAATATAGAATAGAATTGAGAATTTCATAGAAATACCACAACAACAACATTATCCCAATGCCGCAAAGGCTCTCATTTATAGTGAAGTGAAGAGAGTTGGGAGGACGCATGCAGCTTTATTCTTGTACTAAAGCACATAAAAGTTTTTTTCGAATGACACATGATGAAATTCAATCGAAAATTACATGGAATGTTTGGTTCTTCGTAGCAATGAAGCGCAAACAGTTTAGTAAGTCATTTTGTTTTATTACGACATACTCCCAAGCATGGGCTGATCTAAGGGATCAACCTAGGCCGTGTCTCACACCCCCTGCACAGATCGAGTGATGTAATAATGTTTTCCCCTGCACAGATTGAGTGATGTAATAATGTATTTTATAGTTTATATAGGGTTTTTATATTTAGTAGGAACTATAATGTAATTGAGACTCTTTATTCATTATACTACGTATATAATATTCAAGGCTTCTAGTTTGGTAAGCGTGACCATTATTCTCACACTAATATGTGTGGCGAACTTAATGAATTGAAGACTCTTATGATGAATGGAATTCACGCACAAAATAAATTCATTATTTTGCTCACCAAGCGCAATTAGTTATTATAGATGTTGCACAAAAAGTAGTTAATTTGTGAGTAACTTCTTTAAATATTTATCCATGACCACTAACATGGTGGGATCTTCTCGTAAAAGAAAAGATGAGTTTCAGCAAAACAATATGACATCATGGTAGAGATTTTGGAAAAGAGGGAACTTATAATTGGGAGATGATTATATCAAGTGATGGATAGTGTACTCGGGGGGTAGCTTATCCGAGGGGTTATTACCGGAATAACTTAGAGAGAAGTCAGAGCAATAAGTGAGAGAGAGAGTATGTATTCGAATATGGAATGTTGTTATGCTTTACATTGGAGAATAGACTGCTATTTATAGCAGTAATAAATGCGATGAGAGTACACGTGTCAACAATCTAACGGTCGAGGGGTCACCTCAATCGGGATGGCACCAATATGCGCATGTGCACCGCATTAAATGTGGTGGGTGGATGTGACGCCGCATTAAATGCGGCTGTTGCTTGTCTCCAAAGGGAATCTTCGATGTTTGGTGTTGTGGCCGAAGGCTCCCCTGTGGCCGGGGGCTCTGTGTGGCCGAAGGCTACCCGAGAGCCGAAGGCATGCATGAGCTGAAGGCTCCTGACCTCCGTCGTTTTATCCCAGTAGGTTTGTATGCGTAAAATAAATTGTCTTGTGAGTTTTTGGGGCCTTTGGCCATGGGGCTGAAGGCACTCGTATATGCACAGCGGGCTTCTTGATATTTGAGCCGCTGTTCTTTGGGCCTCCTGTGCTTCTTGGGCCCGTTGGGCCTGTGTTAGAGTAGTAGGATTCTGTGGACCGGGAGTCCGTGGTCCATATACTCCATCAGGAGTCCCTCACTCCTTTTGCCGAAAGGTACTTGAGGGAAAAGGAGTAATTTGCGCTTGTCCTCTGATGTTGGCGTTTGCTCCGTTGTTGTTTGTAAAATTGTGAGGGGTTTGTGTTGCATGATTTGCCGAGGTCAGTCCCTTAGTCCCCCACATTTTGGGACTGAAGGATTTTGTTGATGCTTTGGGAAATTTTTGTGATTTTCCCGAAGGGAGTTCCCCAGTCCCCCACTCCTTGAGGCACATGTAATGGGGGTGAAAAGGAGTAGAGCAATGTCTGTTTTAAGCATAGGGCCGAGGGCTGACGCTTTTCACTTTGTTTTGGGGGGATGCCTTGTTAAAAACCTCATTAGGAAAAACCCTGTGGGAAAAAATCCTAATGGGGGAAAAAGAGTGCATCGGGTTCCCCCAATGATGAATCGAAAAGGTGGACCCTTGGTCTGAGTATTTTGTTGAAGCCCAGAGCTGTCCGTGATCTGAGGGCTCCCTTGTTGACTGGCTGAAGGCCGCTGTGGATATTTCGGGGACGCCGAGGGGAGTCCCCCAGTCATTGAGGGCTGAGGGCGTGATGAATGCAAGTTGTTAGACCCCTAGAGTTTGATAAACAGTTTCTCATGATGCCAAAGCTTTTCAAATATTTCCCCCTTCTTTTGTAGCGTTAGGAAATCAATGTGATGTATTCTGCTTCAACCTAATTTGCTAGTAAAATCTTATCTAAAAGTGTCGTGTTCAAATAATCAATTAACAAATAAATATAACTGGAAAACATAAAATGCAATAAGGTAACGGTCCATTACCTTAAAAAGGATCTCTTATGGATCTCACCTATTAAATTTATTTGTTACATCAGATGACACAAAGACATTTCGAATAAACTAATCTATTTACTTAACTGGAACACAAAATGCAATAAGGTAATAGTTTTTACCTTAATAGGATTTGTTATCCTGCCAGTTAAATATTTGGTTTAGTTTATTCATACTAGCTGGGCCAATCACAAGAAATACTTGTATCAAATAAATTATACTGGCAAAGTCAAAATGCAATAAGGTAAACTCTACCTTGAATAGGATATTTAAATCCTACCGGAATAATTTCATTTATGTACAAATATTTCATTTTCCCGGAAAATCATATACATGATTGAAGACAAGCTTGACCGGCATTTAATGCCAAATACGTACTGGGGGCGGAGCATGGGACGCGCACTGAAGATGCTCTCAGCAGAATTATTGAAGACAAGTGAATCACCGCATTAATAGCTCCAGCACAAGAAGACGAATGTACAAGTCGTCCGTGTCAATCGTCAATGAACATGATTAATCCATCCTAACCAATGGATGAGATTAAACAACTGGAGAAGCCTATAAATATAGGCTGAAACGAAAGTTTCTAACCAAGCTTGAGCATCCTAAGTAGAGAGATACTTCTATTGAGCATTCACGAAATATCTAGCAAAAGAAAAAGTGCTATTCTATCCACGACTCTCTGCTAAGACTCTTGCTTCACTAAACTTCTTAGTATCAAGTGTTCATTGCTAAAATCCTAGAAGTTTAGTTCCTGGTTGGAGGTTAGAACTTTCTTGTAACCAAATCAGATATTGTTGTAAACACTTCAGGAGGACAGTTGTTCCCGGCCTGAGTGTGGTTAGATAGGTCAGGAGTACCTTTTGATCCCCACTAGATCAATTCAGAAAAAACTAAAGGATTGAGTAGCTTGGAGTGGTGTTGTACTTGTTAGTCCCAATATCAATCAACAATCATACAAACAACATAACGAGTACAGAAGAAACGATGATCCGATTCAATACCAATAAAGATGTCGAAATACAGAGTAGGGTATGAACGGCGTTTTTCTCCCTTCTCACTAAAAATGATATCTGCGTTGAGGCTTATGCGAGAGTTAGGGTTTGCTTAAGTTAGCATCCTTTTATACATAAGGATGTCTAACATAAGGCTTACAAGTGGACTAATGGGCTAAAATACATTTGTGGCCCATATTACACATTTAGCTAATAACTACACAAATACAAAGATATTTAATTGGATTGGACACCATAAAATATTCCCAACAATCTCTCCCTTGGTGTTCAATCGTGTTCAATTAGCATTGCAGTGCAGATATCTTTGTCTTTGTGTTTATTCAGCAATGTAGAGGAGAGCATAGATAAAATATGTTGAGTTGCTCCTCTTTTGTCTTGATCTTCAGTGGAACTCAGCTTCATGTGTCTTCGTGTTGAACTCGACTTCTTTAGAGGGCTTTCTAAAGAAATCCTAGCAATCTCCCCTTTGATTTCTTCTTGGCAATTTGATCTTTGATGCCAGAGTTGAGGAATCTTTAGTGTCTTGCATGTAGTCCTTGCCTTCCAAAGGTTGGTCTTGATCAGCTTGGATTAAATCCAGTAGCGCGCCTCTAGAATGAATGTCCTTGAAGAATTGCAGACGCACATGGGATTCTGATTACCTAACCTCTGTCTCCTCCACAATGTAATCTTTTTGACTATTTGAGGTGAATGCTTTTGAGGAGAACCAGTCGGTTGCACAGCGGAAAATGAGGATTGACTTGTGAGTGTAGCTGACCATTTGATGTGAAGCTGACTTGTCGTCGTTTTTTGTGTTGGAGGAGAAGTGTCCAAGAATGATTTTTTAGAGTAAACAGCATGCGGACCACTCTCCCCCTCATGACGATCCGATGAATCAGGGCGTCATGCCTTTATTCTTTTATTCTGTGAAACAAAATAGAAAAAACAAAAAAGGTAAACACCGGAGACACCATGGTGTTCCGTTATCACAACATCAATGTAAACACCGATGTGTGGCCTGTATAAAAATGACAGAAGCATTA